ACACTACAGTAATGAAAGATGAGTACAGCACATACTGGAAGACAAGACCTCCTGGTCTCTAATCCAGTCACTCTCCAGCCATCCTGGACCTAACCATCCCCCAAAACCAAGCTTCTCCTCTGTCCATGAGTTACACACCACCCAACCTCCCAGCAGTGAACCCATGGTCACCCCCTCCTGCATCCACTGTGAAGCTCTCAGTATCCAACCCAGTATATATACCCTCCCCTCTCCCCCTTCCATGTCCTGTACTCACCCATCACTCTAATCACTAACCAGCCCCCCTCCAGTCCGCCCACATTCCATCTCCTTTTTAATCGCTGCTCTACTACGCCTCAACCTCCAGGGCTATCCCAAGAGAACCTTCCCTCCACAAATTAGTCCTTACCCCTCAATTACCTGCACAGTGAATCGGAAGTCACAAGATCCTGCCAATGTAGCACACTTCAACGGCTTAATTCATTTCCCGTAATCTCCCTCCCAGACTCATCGCATGTATGCAGCCCAAATTCGCACCTTTTATACTTACCAAAATCTACCATATGCTGGTAGTATAATAGTGTGCTGTCTTAATGTTCGTGGACTATATAATATCTTCCAATCATCAATATCTAGAACACTTACTTTATGACAACTTCCCAGACCTGATTGCAATCTCTGAACACTGGTTACAGGATAACAATATTCAAAAGATCCAGGAACTGCACTCTGACTACAGGTTCTTGGCGGCGTGCCCGCCATGCCAGGAACATCCGTTATTTTGTACCCCCCAACTACTTAGCAGCCATGGTGGAGTAGCCATAGGATGGAATTGCTCGAAACCCCAACTAGACCACCTCATCAAAACCGACTCCCATTGTATCCTCCCACCGAATGTTAGGAATTGACTCTCCCCAGCCCCAGTGTTTGTGTTCTCAGTCTACCTCCCCAGCCGGTCTGGATGCACTGATGTATTCACAGAAACATTGGACCAACTAAACGCAGTACTGGGCTAGGCTCAACTGAAAATTTTTTTCTGTGGCATGCATTTTCTTGTGGGCATGGCTTGTTCAGCTTCGTAGGTGTTGCTTAGGTGGGAAATTACTCATTTTGATGGGCTGCTGAAACGGCATCTTGTGTCATCAGAAGAAAGATGATGCAGAGCGCTAGGTATTATCAACAAGGTTGTTACTGGTCGACTTTGACGAGTTTTGGAGTTTGCTGAAATTTTAGAAACGATTAAGGTTACTACCAAACTGGTTCGTTGCAAGCATGCATGAATGGTCACAGGATGCAAGTATTATTTTACGGCATGGTGAAGCTGTTTTCTTTCTTGATCTCCCTACTGTTGAAGTGCTGTTTGGCACAGCTTATTAGCTCCTTCAAGCTCGGCAGAGAGACTACAGATTACACTACTCTCAAGTCATCTGATGAGACTGCATTGTGAAATTGGATCGCATGATACGTGAGAAACCAAAATTATGCTAGTACACTTGCACTTGAGGCCATGATCCTGTTCTGAAAAGAACAAGACGGCTAAATGGCTCCAGTCAAGGTGTGAGAGCTTGTTACGCATCTAGCTGCAGAAGTGTCTGTGTATAATAATGCAGAAGCCAAAAAGTAGCTCAGTCAGCGATTTAATCATCTCATGCTGTGATTTTTTTACTAACACTTCTGATCACCGGTAACACCTTGCTAAATTCTAAGAGCCAGCAGAGCTGCAGTAACTCATGGAATAGTCAAGGTCAGTGGCTGTACATAAAGGGAGACCTGGTAATAAGGGATTTTTATGAAGAGATTGAAAACTGAATTTGCCATTATCCGATCATGGAGGCAAAATCAGTAAATGGTTGTACTCTACCTCAAATAGCTATATAATTATTGTAGCTTAGTTTTGCTGATTTTCAAAGGCACCGCGCTGGTAGTATTGTACCCAATTGCAAGCCGCCAGCACGTCAATATTCATATATCCCCGAGGGATGTGTGGCTGCCGTTAATTATGAGTATTCGCTGCCACACTTTACACAACGATCTAATGAGCAAACAATGGCCAGTGACCTTTCTTGGTAAGCTGTATATTATAGATGGCTGTGGCTACATCCCAAGTTGGCAGGCAAGGGAAAAGTGGCGAGCCAGTAAGCCGAGAAGATGCGCGCGCAAGCCAGAAAAAGGCGAGAGCTGGAGCGAGAGGGCTGTGTGCCGTGCGTCACTTGTGTCGTTTTGAACACGCTTTTCAAAAATGTCAGGCTTAGCTGCACCATAGCTGAGCTGTAGCATACGTGATATACGAAGGAGACTCCGAAGAGCGTCATTCCAGGTCTGCGCGGCGTCTTGCCTTCTCTGCTTGGTCCGCGCTACAGCAGCCCGCTACAATTGCACGCTACACTACGCTCCACCGCTAGCTAAAGTAGTACTCGCTCTAACAAACGGTCAACAGGCAGCATGGGCTCACGCAAGCATGCTCTCGGCCTCCTTTCCCTCGTCTCGCCCACCGATTTCTCTCACAACCCTGGCAAAATTTGATGACGTAATATGGTTGCTAGGCAATTAGTACGGTTGCTAAGCTATAAATTGGTTAACGCCTTGGCGGTACCGGATATCCCCTCAGCTGTTCCACTCGGGCTCCGCCCTCGGGTGTCGCCGTTACCGCTTCAGAACCAGGCGTTAACCTATACTTATTCCACCATTATTAACCTTCTGGATAATATATATTTAGTAACACAAATTTTCTGACAGTTCATTTTTGATTTGAGGATGTATAACTACTAGCCACTTCTTCTGCAGACAAAAATGCTTCAGAACTGCATGCCTCACAAAGTGTAATTAAGAGTCAGCAGTGGCAGATCTAGAACTCCAGAATGGGTGGTGGTTCCAATGACATAGGTGCGCAAAGCGCGCCTCAAAATTTGTAGCAGCGACGCCCACTTTTGGATGCCTCGCGTGCTAGTTGCATTTGTGAAACCTTCCACGAGCTCTTCTCCTGCCATGCTGTTGGGTTCTATCATGCTACGGAGTATGCAGGTACTGAAATTGCATTGCTAGTTTTGTGACAGAAAGGGGGGTTCCATGGCACCCAATGACCCCCCCCCCCAGATCTTAGGGTTTTTACATTATTGCGGTCATCCTATAACCAAACGCAATAACAAAATTCCACAAATGCTAAATTCAATTCAATGATTATGACTGTGCTGTCATTTATCTATCATGAGAGCAGACCCAATTGGTGGATGAAAATCCCTCCAGTTCCTGCGAAAATCCCTTCTTTTTAAAAAAGGGACACTCACCTTCTTTTACCACTTCACCGTAAATCCCCACCTTTCCATCGATCCGTGCAGTTTATATAATTTTCAGTGAATTCCACACTTTTCGTCTCCTTTCCATGAATTAATGCTGTCGAAAGTAAAATATTTCATGGTTCCTTCTCCATTAGCTGAATCTAAAACGGGGTTTTTATGCTATTAGAGAAATACGCATCACCTAAAGTGCAGCCGGTCCACCGTTTATGACATCTGGGAAGGTTGGCTTCGCTCATAGCTCAATGAAAAGCACTAAAGTGCAAACCAACGGCGAACTAGGGATGCGCAGTACCGCTAATTGATGGGCTGGGCTGCTATTAGTATGCGTTTACTCGTGGTCTCCCGCTAGTAGCTCGCAGAGAGTCTGACACGGGCTAACTACAGTAGTAGATAGTATGCGAGAGTCGATACACGCCCTTCGTTGTGACTTCTTGTGCCTTCAAGATACACAGAGCAAGCGGACCCGGTCGAGGTTAAAATATATATAAGCGCATGCGCATTTTCCGCAGCGATAAAAATGGCCGACTACGCATTAGCCGTACAATGGTGGAAGTGCTCTAGCTCTGCAACGGAGCATTTTCAGAGAAAACCCCACATATTTTCTGACCTTCGTCGCCTGTTGGGTATATGGTATCGTTTCTGGGAGGAACAGACACCCGAAAAGTGAGATTGCCAGTAACAGACAGACAGACAGACAGACACTGTAACCCTCGCTGCGCATGCGCGCCGAGGGTTATAAGGATCTAGGAATGAGGTAGGCAACGGGACTCCAGAGTTCTGACTGCCACCAGCCGGCAACAAAATGGGTGTGGTCCGCCAGCAGGTGAGTGGACACACGCAAAACCCTGATGCGCATACCCCAGAGGACCCACGTTCTGTGTTAGCTATGCAGCCCAGTAATATTCTTACCTTGTAGATATATCTTCAGACGACAGTAATTCTGTCGGTGTTAGCCACGACCAAGTAAGAGTCTCACCCTGGCGGAGCGAGTCGGTGGCGGGAGTCGGTGTCTAAAGAGTATTCATGATACATTCTTCCTTTCCCACCCACTTCTTCCTAATTTGGCTATATAGCGGCAGATATCTATCACTGATGAGAATGAATTCAATTAGAGAGTTGCAAAATTACAGGAATTTCCACCAGTTTAGTGATTGAGGGAGATAAATAAAACGAAATGATGATCAAATGACAATTTCTTTCAAGTGATATTCATCTCTGAGTAACTTCACAGTCTGCTGGTAATGCCTGGAAAAGAGAAACAAATAATATTAGTGTCTGCTACAAAAACATGAACTAACAATTCAAAGGACATCGATAGTTTACCAATTATGCACTGCTAAACAGAGAACATTCCTAGTATATGTAGCTGTGTACAAATGTGTGTATAAAGGTTCCGACACACATTCCATGTCTGATGATGGAGAATGATCCGGTGTGACTGAGGTCCACTACAGTAGAGCCCAGTCTACTGGCCTCCTCTTCTCCCCCTCTTCCTCCATGAGAGATGACTCCTCCATCCACCACCACATCCAGGAACGACCACAGCTCTCGGAACTCCTGAGAAAATGATATAATATCACCAAGTCAGGTAATAACTGTAGCTCTATCAGGGTGAAAATGAGAGATGTACAAAAGATTCTAATGGCTAAGCAATCATAATTATTAGAAATGCACACAGGTATATGGGTTCAGAATGTGGCAGTATATGTGGGCTAAATAGGTTACTAAAGATAGAACAAAACAATAGGAGCACAGTTAAGGAATGCAATTGAGTCACATTAATTTAACCATTCTATACTGCCACATTCCCTCTAAAGCTCATGCTCTTTACAATGCTGGAGGTCTTGTAGGTGTCTGAATTGCCAAAAAGTTTGTCTAGCTCTGATGTCATATCAGTCACCAACAGTGAATTTAGCAAAAGGAATGCAATTGAGTCTTGTAGGTGTCTGAATTTCCAACAAAAAGTTGGTCTAGCTCTGATGTCATCAACCAGACAAAAAGACAACAGTGAACCTACAGAACTGTTTAAATGTGGCAGCTTAAAGGCTAAATTTAGAATAGGGCCCAAGTGCAAGAATGCAATTATGTTACTGTTTTTATATAGTAACATTTTTAGCTCA